AAAAAAAAAAAAAAAAAAAAAAAAGGAGAAATAACTTGAAGGATACAACAGCATAGTGAACGCTTAGCCGAATAGAAAATAGAGAACTTTTAGTACTTTTTTATTTTTATTTTGTTAGTGTTGGTCTAAGATAATTTTAAAGAAATATGATCAGCGAAGATTTATATAACTGACACTAACTTGTTTGGAGCTTAATTTTTGTTTTGATTCCAGAACAGAACCAGTAATTTGTATATACATGTTCATGTAGCTCAGATGAGTATTCTTATTTATATCATTACGATCTTCTAGATATGGAAAACATTTGCTTCAGGTTGCTAGCACCATTCATGACATTCTTGTCTTGGCTACAATCATAAAGTGGGCTTACTTCAATTTGACAAACTTAACAAAATATAAAATTTAGTTGCAAGACAAGAAACATTAGTTGGGATGCTATGTAACTTTCATTCTCGTAATATAGAAGAAAATTTCCATGTTTTGAGCATTGTATATGACATTTAATTACAAGGGGTGGATGCAGAGGATACATCCTAACCACACGGTGACACAAAGCTTTACTAGAACAGCTCAAATTCTAAATGCTCTTTGGAACTATACTCTAAAAACATTTTGTTCTTTTCCTGAAAAGCTGGTTTTGCAAATCCAATATTGTCACAAAGATCATGTACTTGAGGTGGAATAGCACATCTTATCAATGCCCAGTTCAGGCCGTCGAAGAAGGGGTGTCGCTTAATCTCAGCAGCTCCTGTTCCCGTTCCCAATCGATTCTCAGGCTCCTTCACAAGAAGCCCTCTGATTAGATCCCTCGCCTGAAAACTAACCATCGGACTGTCGGGAAATCTGAGGTTTTGCATGACAACATTGGCCAAAGTTTCTTCATTTCCAGCACCTTTAAATGGTGTCTTCCCATATAGAAGCTCGTAAAGAAAAACGCCTAGGGTCCACCAATCAACAGCACTCCCATGTCCCTCGCCTTTAATGATCTCAGGAGCCAAATATTCATGTGTACCAACAAATGAGTTGGACCGTGCTTCTGTTGGCTCTACCACAAGCTGAGGCAGTGATCTGCTAAAGGATGCAGCTTCCGCTTTTAGCTTTCTTGCTCGTGCGCTGGCAGGTAAAATTCTGGGGCTAAAGCAAGAAACTTGACATGACGGTCCAGAACAAAACGGATCGATGCAGTTAGAACCCGTGCATGGACCAGACATCCGGGGAGCCTCCACCCCGAGTGAAGATGATTTTAGAAGAGTCGGATTAACTGAACATCTGAGTGAGAGATCAAAATCAGTAAGCATGATATGACCATCTTCTCGGACCAGTATGTTTTCTGGTTTCAAATCCCGGTATACAACTCCTAGCATATGCAGATACTCCAAAGCAAGGAGGACTTCAGCAACATAAAACCTGCAATTACCGTGAGTTAGAAAGTACACACTGGTCACCAAATACAGAAATGTGGAAGCAAAAAGATTAGCAAGACAATGAATCTGTTATCCGTGTGCTTCTCTTTTTGATACAACAACGACGACCCAGTACAATCCCACTAGTGGGGTCTAGGGAGGGCAGTGTGTATGCAGACCTTACCCCTACCCCGAGGGAGTAGAGAGGTTGTTTCCGAAAGACCCTCGGCTCAAAAAGACGAAAAGAGACAATATATCAATAGTACCATCAACTGTGCTTCTCTTTTTGATAATGTAAAACAAAGTTGCTATGCACCAAATTTGATTATTGGTACGTTTATGTCAACAACACTCCTTCCACTTTGTTCAAAGACAGCGTAATTGACGGGACAATTTTTAAAACAATAGTCCAAAAGCTCTCTTTCCACATCAAATTAATATAGCATCCCCAAAAAGTTAGTGATCTAACTTCTGCAGAAACTAGCTTTTGGATCTTGACACAGCATCACTATATGAATCAATTAACTACGATTCACTACAGTAAACTAATTATCCACATCTAAGAGAACCTAGAAAATTACCAATCAAATGAATTCTTAATCTTCATTCTTCTTTCCTTTTTTATCTTTTTTGGAGGAAATGTAGAGTTCAACTTGTACCTTTTTCTTTCTCCTTTTTTGGTTGGGGGTGGTCGGGTAGGGTTGGATTGAATTAGGAGGAACGGCGGAAGATATACCTAAAAAAGACACTGGCTAGCAAATAAAGAATTTGCTAGCCTCAACACATTGTAAGGCTAAATCACAGAAAAATTTATAAGGTAAGTAGTTTTGTTAATGTTGGAGAAATTCCCGTATACAAGTAGTATACAAAAAGTAGAGAAACCAAGACAAAAATATGGTTCTCTACAAAAAGTCAACCAATCGCTACACAAACAAGAACCTCGCTGGTGCACCAAAAAGAAACCAGAGACATAAGGCCACTCCTCACATGTAAAATATATTATTGACCCTTCAAAAGCTCTCTTATTCCTCTCCCTCCATTTATTCCAGAAAAAAATTCAGACTAGTCTTTACAATTTTACCACCCCTGACCACAAATCAGAAGAAAGCAAATGCACATTTGTTATGTTTATGTTGAAAATAAACCTTTTCTACCACTTCATCAAACAATAAACCTTTTCCTACCAAAGCTTTATAATAGCAGTCTTTAGTACTATAATTTATCAAAATTGGAGCATATCATACCGTGCTGCTGGTTCAGGAAAATATCTGTCCGGCTGCTTTTGCCTGAGGACGTGCAAATCACCACCAGGACAAAACTCCATAACTAAGCATGATAAATTGTCGGATGTAAACTGCGCATACAGTGTTGGTAGAAAAGGGTGATCTAGCATTCTCAAAATCTCTCTTTCAGTTTGGGCTCTGGGCATCTTTTTCCTTCTTGCCAAAAATTCATTATCCATAACTTTTATTGCAAACAAGCAGTTAGTTTCCAGCAGCTCAGCTAGATACACTGTGCCGATGTCTCCACAACCAAGTTTCTTTAATAAATTGAAATGACTCAGCCCCAAGAATCCATGATGTTTCCTCACCTGATTTATAGCCGCCCACCTGCCGTCTTTAGACATGTGTGGCCTATTCCCGGTACTAGACCCACTTAGATTGCTCTCATCACTAATTGTCGTGCTACAACTGTAATCACCTATACTACTCTTTGAGCTCTGTGAAAAGTCCCCTTGCTCTCTAGACTTTGATGGCTTGTTGAGTTTAGTAGCATGACAGTTACTTCCATTTTCACCGGCTTCAGCGGTTGTACATCCAGAACCTTGAGTTGCAGGTGTGTTACTAGACTCGTTTACCGCATTCTTGAGAGAACACTGACATTTCTGGCAGATAAGTTGTTGCTTCGGTGATTCCACTGGACCATTTACTTCATAGGTCACGTTAAAAGTACCAGATGTTACTGTTGTTTCCGGTTTCACTTTCTTCTTGACAAGGGTCTTGTTCTTGACTGCTGGTTTTGCTGTTGGCTTTACAGCATGAGAGTTGCTTTTGTTTGATTTAGACTCCTTGTTGCTTCTCGTGGCACTAGATGAAGACATGTTTTGTAACCTGGCTTTCCGTCTCAGCTTAGGAGCTGCTTTGTTTGCTATCCTAAATGATGTAACCACACTTTTATTAGAATTATGTTGCAAACTTTTTGGTCCAGAACCCAATGCATCATTACCAGAGGTAAATGAAGATGAGGATGTTGCTGAAATTTCGGCTTCTTCCTCAATTAACACAGTTCGAACAGATTTAATCTCACGATGCTTCAAAGCAGATGCATTATCCTTTTGCGAAGTGGTTGACCTGCTTTCTGCTGGCACCATCTTCTCTTTTCGCCGCACAGTTGACTCCGCACAAATAATGACTGGTTTATCAACAAGTGTAGTCGAAGATAAAGCAGTTTGGTTTGGTGACGTCAACTTGGCTTGTGTAAGCTGTTGAGAAACCTTTTTACTTGAGTTCGGAACATTTTCTTGCGTCAACATTCTCTCATTTTGCTTGGCAATGGATTCTGCACTTTTAATAGCCTGTTTACTAATATATTTAGGAGAACAATGGGTGCTTTGACCTGGTGACTGTAGCTTGGGCTCTCCAATGTACTGATGCGCCGTCCTCTGGGAAGAGTTAGACGTGCTTTCTGCTGGCACTATTCTGTGATTTTGGCGCATTGAGATGGTTGGCTTAACGACAAGTCGTGGCGAAGAATGGGGACTATGGTTTGCTGATTTAACATATGATTCTTGGCGGTAATGGGCCACTTTGTCGAATATTCCTGATGTGCTTTCATCTTGTAAACCCGGTGGCTTGGATAACCGCTTCGTCGCAGCCATTTCTGCCGCCTGCGAAATGCACAAACCTCGTAATGCCTGCTTTAAAGAGACTGGCTCTGAAAATCCAATTCCTGGAGAATGAGATCCGCCGCCCTTCATTGGCCTTTTTGAGGCATCTCTTCTTATTACTTGATCTGACAAATCCAGACTCTTTGATGATCTCAGATTGATAGATTCAAAAAGCTGATTGATATCATCTTCTAAGAATTTATTAGGTCCTTTTCTAGCCAAAGGAGGCTTCTGCTTTCTGTCCTGTTCTCGTACTCGACGAGACCTTTCAGAATGTTGGAAAAAATGCAGCTCATCTTTGGCCTCAATTATTTCACAACTACCAGCAAATGAACCCATAGCTTTGAACTGATCGGACAACCAACGAGCAACTCAACAATCAGAAGGTAAAAGGAGTAATTTTGAAAGTCTAAACTGAACCATCATTCAACTGGCAACAACCTTTACAACCGTACATGAGCTTCAGCCTTCACTCAAAGTAATCCAAATTTCTAATCTCAATCTACTATTCAACCTGTAATGATAGTTAAATCCTATTAATAAAATAAGTAAAATACCAGCTATTGTATTCCTTAAATAATCATAATCATAGCGATAACAAATGTCAAGAATAAACACACAGAAGAGGTATAAAACATGAGGATACTTAGATGGATGAACATCAAGCATTTCATTTAACAGAGAATAGAATTATGTCAAGAACTTGAATATAATTTTAAAGAACCACAATATCTAAGATTCCACAATACCAGATCTCCTTTTATTATCATTCCTATCATGGTCAGATAAATAAAGTAATGGATGTTGTTAAATACTTAACAGAGTTTTAGATTTCTCAAAGAACTCTTACATTAACTTTTAATCAACTTTCAAACTGTTCTTAGAAGCCTAACTCAGCCACAGGGCGGAGCCAGAGCATCGGCAGTAGCTTTTGCTTGTACCTTGTATTTGTACTAAAAAATATCCATAAATATGTATGAATATTTAATTGCGAAATCAGTAAATAAGACGAGCTATGAGTTCGATGGCAAATTCAGAACCCATAAACTTCAAATCTCCCCGCCTATGATTACTCAGCTTCAAAGATACATTCAGTTTAATAGCACAGATCCATTATAATTGAAGTACATCAAAATCCTCAGAATAAGAACAAGATTACAACTTTTAACAAAAATACGTTCAATATAGTAATTTATTGTTCAACTCCCCCCATTTCTACAAGAGAAAATGAAAATAAAAAACGAGCAACCCCACAAAAATGAAGAAAACAACAAGAAAAGCAAATTATCAAATGAAAAGTCCAAAGGAACTAAATGCAAAAACTTTAGCAAGTAAACATTTCCCATTAGAAGCAACCAAAATTAAAACTTGCAAGTTTCAGTACAAATCTAAAAGCACATAATAATAAATAATGCTAAATAAAAAATATAAAAATAAAAGAGAAGCTTAGAAATGAATGCATAGAAGGTAAACTAAAGAGACCCCACAAAGATTAAGCAAAAGGGTGTCCAAAACTATGAACAAAAAGTTGAAAGCTAAACAAAACAAGCAAATCTTGAAAATATGAAATAGAAAAAGAAGACATTTTTACCTGCAAAAGCAACTGAGATACAATGAAAGATCTAAAGCTCGAAACTTGTACTATAAATTACAAGTAAACAATGGTTTCAGATTCTCAAAGATAAATAAGAACAAGAAGAAGAGCACAGTGCTGCTTATGCTATTTCGGTGGACAAAGATGTGAAGAAGAAAATAAAGAGAGAAAAGGGGGACAAACTATTCTCAACTCTTCATATTTTTGTAGTAATTTCTAATTTCTGTGTTTATTTTTTTCTAACATTATGTGGTCCTTCTGCAAAAAACATGGGGTCCACTCCCTGGAGGTAGAAAGTGGGTCCCATGCTTTGTATCTTAGGATTCTAATTTTTTTTTTTTTTTTTTTTGGGGAGTGGTTTTACATATCTTGCTCATATTGTATTAAAATATTTCAGCTGCATAGTTAATTATTACAGCTTGTTTGGATATTTGTTACATATTGTATTGTATTGTATTGTTACTTTAAATATAATATTTATTTTAATTGTTATTTTAAATTTTATTGTATCGTATCGTTAAATTTATTGTTTTGTAACGACAAAAAGTGTTAGTTTATCTAACGACGGATTTGGTGTGGTGACGTTGTTTTCTTGCTTTTTTCTCTTATCTTGCCATTCTTTATTAGTAGATAATCACATTTTATCATTTACCCTTCTTTTTTATATAATAATTCTACTATGTATCCTATTTTTTCTTAATAATGTTGCAAGTTTATTCTTCATATTATTGGTGCGTGACATCATGAAACGGCGACAAATGATACAATCTATTCAAATATTGTATTGATCAAACAATACAATACAATATGAAACGATAGGCAACAACAATCCAAACAAGTTGTTAGTTACCCTTCCGGCCAGGTGATCTAGTTGGTTGAGCATGGTACTTCCCAAATCGGAGGTCTAAGGTTCGAAATCTACTTGCATACCTTTTCGGTCAGTCCGTCGTACGGGGCTTCCTTAGTGTGATTTACCGTCTTGTATGCAGGGGCGGATGCATGCTTCCTCAAGCGGTGTCATGCGACATCGCTTCGTCGGAAAATTTTACTAAATATATGTATTAATAATGTACGGAAACGGATAAGTAAGAAAAAATGACACCACTTGACATAAATTGTGTTTTAGTATGTTGGTTTTGTGCTTGATTTTGCTCTAAGATGTCAAATGTTCAAACCTCAACTAGCACATTTTTCTTTTGTAAATATTTAAGAGAGCCTTTGTAGTTAAAAATTGTGATGAAGTAGAATTGAACTCAAAATCTTTCCTAAACTCAACAAAACCAATAAATTAAGGTTATTTCTTGTTTAAAAGTATGATAATCAAAGTAATATTTCAGTTCTTCAATAAATTTCGACACCGCTTACAAAAAGTCTTGCATACGCCCTTGCTTATATGGTTTACGGGTTATTATACAGAAGCGGGATTTATCATGTGCATACTCGAAAGATAATGACTGCGACTTCCCTTGTTAACCCAAAAAAAACTACGTAATTAATTAGTTTTTGCTTACCTAGAAGATCAATGTATAATAAATTATTGGTTAAAGTGAAATTAAAATATTATTAGCAATCTTGTTTGGAAGGGAACTAAAGGATAAAGCACGTCGTCACAACGTGCTTGACCTCTAAAAATTTTCTTTAAAATAATAAAAAAATCCTTGCTTTCTTAGGATGCTTTAGTCTTTCAATTTTTTAATACCTGTTTTTATTTCTATATTTTAGTTATCCAATCAGTTACTAGAGACATCTTTTTCGTCAAAAAAAAAATCTAATTTTTTTAATTCAATCATTTAATGTAAAAATAAAAATGTTTTACTACCTGATAATTCCTACGCTTTACTATATATGATATTATTCCTACTCAGAAAGAATCTTTTATTTTACTACAACTTTTTTATCATTGTTTAGATACTTTGAATTATAAAAAGTTAAGTTTATAGCCTTTTATGTAATTTTTAGTTATTTTATTTTATTTTAAAAATAAAGAAATTAATATTCAAGTTAAAATTGAAATTCGGAATATATGATCTTAACAACTTTATCTGTTGGAACAAAGTAAATACTAACAATTTTTGTATATTTTGTTCATTTTATATGGCCTTGTTTGACTAACCACTGAATTTAAGAAAGAAATAAACACTTTTTAAACTTGTGATTTAAGACAATTCATAGACATTTGGTGCCTTGATTATGTTGGTCCTTGTGACATAAAACTCAATACCTTTAATCTTCTATTTATTAAAATGTGTTTGTTGGTCCCTCTAAATATTAAAGTATGTTACATTTGACTATTTAGAACAGTATTACCATCAAATATGGAATAATAATACAAACTTATAGCCCGTTTGGTTAAGCTGCAAAAATCAGCTTATTTTATGAAGTGTTTTTTTTTTCAAAAGCGTTTTTCTCAAAAGTACTTTTTGGTGAGAAGCAGTTTGTGTTTGGCTAATTAGTTTGAAAAGCACTTCTGAGCAGCAATTAGTGTTTGACCAAGCTTTAAAAAACTGCTTCTAAGTATATTTTTCTCAAAAGCGCTTCTCAAAAAAATGCTTTTGGAGAGAAGCTACTTTTTTCTGCTTCTCCAAAACTGTTTTTGCTTCTCCTTAAAAGCACTTTTTTTCCTTTCAGAAGTTTGGCCAAACACCTCAAATTGAGGCCAAAAGTGCTTTTGGCTTAAAAAAAAATACTTTTGGACAAAAATAAATTTGGCCAAACAGGCAATTAACATAAAATATGGCTAGTCAAATGATGTAATGGCATGTAATTCGTACAATTTGTGAGGATTCAAAAGTAGAGGGATCAAAATTATATTTCAATTAATTGAATGTTAAATGTTCTTAGCCAAATATAATAATGACCAAAATTATAATTTGTCAATATTTGAGTAAGTAAAAGTGCAAAATTCCCTTCAATTAAACGCTAATCATTATATTCTGAAGCTTCCATAAGGTCTCCTATTTTCTTACCATAATATGACCTTTGATTGCTAGACACTACTTTATCAATATTCTTTTTTCACAAGTAACAATTATTTATTCTTTTGTTCAAAGAATTCATTCACTTTTTGATGGGAAATATATTGGATACTTCCTTAAGTAACTATAAATATACTCTCTCCGTTCACTTTTAGTTGTCAAGTATCTTAAAAATAAATTTTTATTTTTACTTGTCACTTTCACATATTAAGAGAAAAATAATTTATTTTTCCTGTTTTGCCTCTTAGCATTAATTACTCATTCCAAATTATTTTTCAAATCCATTAAAACTATACAACAATTAATATGGGTATCATAATAAATTATACATTTTATTTATTATTTTGTAAGTATGTAAAATCAATAGTAGACAAGTAAAAGTGAAAAAAAGGGAATATTATGATTTTCCATAACTTAGCACTTTACTCAAAATTGGCCTAACAATACAGGCAATTAATGTCTTATCAAACACTATTAATAGATATATAGGTGGAGCTATTAAGAAGCTCAATTATGAAACATTTAAGAGACTTTAATTTTATACGTATAAACTTTTTTGGTTCAATTTGAATATTTTTAATGACAGTAACAACAATAAACCCAACTTGATCTCAATAGGTGGGGTCTGTGGAGGATAGTCTGTACGCAGACCTTACCCTTGCCTAATGCAGGTAGAGAGACTCTTTCATTTTTAATGACAGTGTAATTTCAATTAATCTTGTCGAAACAAAGTACAAATATTTAAAATATTTAAGTCCAACACTTAAAATGCAAATACTCCATCCATTCACTTTTACTTGGCACGTTTTGACTTTTCACGCCCCTTAAGAAATAATAAATAAAGTGCATAATTTACCATGATACACATATTAATTGATGCATATTTTATTAAATTTGAGAAAATAATTTGAAATGAGTAATAAATATTGTGGGTATAACAAGAAAAAAATTGTCTTCTCTTGATATGCGTAAAGTGATAAGTAAAAAAAATCTATTTTTAATATATATGCCAAGTAAAAATGAACAGAGGAAGTATATACTACTATTGATGGGTGGAAAATGTTCCCTCATTAGCACTACCAATCAATATTTGGGGGTCAAGTTGACATTAATTATTTGTTAAAGTATTTATGGCATATGGAATGCTATTATGGCTTCTTTTTTAATCATACTTAAAAATGTTTTTCTTGAACGGGGTCTATCAAAAACAACTTATCTCCTTCCACAAAGTAGGGATTAAGTCTGCGTACACATTATTCTTCCCAGACTCTATTTATACATCGGATATGTTGCTATTGTTGGAGTGCTATTATGAGTGCAAAGCATATCTAACAAACTAATTAGTACTATTATTTTACCTTTATGCAGAATTTCAATTTCGAACCCTGAGAATAAAGGAATCCATGGGTTACAACCGGTAGAAAGTATTTCCTTCTTAATTGTGCTCAATGCTGTGTGAATCTGGATTAATTGGATCAGTGAGTTTTGAACACTAAATGGTAAAAAACAAATATATTAACTAGCTCACCAAGAAAGAAGAAAAAGTAATTATTTGTACTTATACAACAAAAGAATTGTGCTAATCAATTATCAATTATTCCATTCAACAAGAAGTTGCATAATTGTGTAGGCTTTTAATTTAATGAATGACATAAATTATATATGATTTGATTTTCTTTAAAAAGATTAATAACTCCTCTAAAGTTGGTGGTTAGAGCAACTAGATTTTCTCCCTTTTTCACTTTAATTTTTCTCCCTTAATACCTAGCATATCTTATCACAACAACGATACAACCTACTCATTGTACTTTATATTCTAGACACTGATATTTGTAACAATAATTAATCAAATAGTTTATAGAATTACACTTAATTACCACCAACCAAATTCAGCTCTTTGCTTTGCCACAGTCAGAATGTCATTTTAAAAAGGATAAAATTTGGTCAAATTAGTATCAAAAAATAGTTTTTGTGGTCAAAACAAATAAAAGAATAATTCGGGTTTATAATAACTAATTTTACTTCACGTTTCCGTATATAAAAGAATTGAAAATAATGAAAAGCAATATTGAGAGGACGAGGGAAAATAAATTTTATTGATTATTGATGCTTTCTTTTAATAGGAAATATGGTCTTCCAATACCAGAGAATAATAAAGTATAAGCAATTGATAGTATAAATTTATAAATTTTTTAATGGGAGTATAAGATATGGTA